TCAGTGCCTAAGAAAACCAAGGGATTGGAAATTTGTTAAAGATCTCGAGGAAAAGATTTGCACATACTTTAACAGAATGCAGACATCCTTGTTCTTGGCCTTAAACTCTTAATGGCAATCATCTTTCCATGCATAAGAAAGGTTGCACGATTCCTTCATTTTCAGAGGAATGAGCAAAATAAGAATTTTTCCAGGTGGTTATTTCACTGTACCCTATTCTCAGAATGAATGCAAGCTAATTGATGAAGTCTACAACTCAGATGGTGATCTAAGTTTAATTCCTGGTAAGTTTGTTCTCAGCACAGATGTTGAAAACTGAACTGATTTAAAAAACCCCACAAAAAACAACCACCACCCACCCCCCCCAAACCCCACTGAATGCTGTAAAACAGATTGATTTACTTTCTCTCCCAGCAGCAAACCTAATGATCAAGTTTCACTGAAAGGCAGACATACAGTTTTAAAGCTGCTATGGGATACACACAGAAGCACACAGGTAACAAACAGTAATTAAAAACCCCAACTATTAAAGATCTCATGAGATGCCTAAACCCCAGAAACTCACAATCACAAACAGAAACATCAGAAAATTCTGCTGGTTGCAGACACAGTATCCTCAACTGTAAGATTTCCAGCACTTAAATGACCATTGGTCTTTTTGTTAATCAGCATTTCTGGACCCCTCCTTGCATCTCTGCCTTTCACTTTCGGTGTATTTGATACTGCATGTGCCATCAGTATGTAGGGCTGTGCTTTAATGCAGCTTCTAGTTGCGTAAGCTCTACTAGTTGCAGTAACTAATGGGAACTCTCTTCAACTGCATCCACCAGTCCGGTGAGTGTCTAACTGCAGTAACAAACACAGGTTGACAAAAATAAGTTCTAGTATAAACCAGAATGTATGATGATTATGGTTTATCTTGTGAAATCAGACCTCTGAGACGCACTTCCATTCTACTGTTGCACAAATGCACTCTGATGGAAAGTACTTCCACAAACATTAGTTTCCGTGACAAATAATGTCTCTGTGTGGTGTTCATGGACGTGCTCTTACCTCTGTTAATTAGGCGTCTGTTCTTTGTCTGTCGGGTTCCTAGTTGGAAACTGAAAAGAAATAGATGCAATTAATAGTCATGTATATCAATGATAAATTAGGCCAGTGCAGAACGTCTTTCAAAGTTGAATAATTCACAAAATAAATACCTAGGATAAATCACTTTTTATATGTCTTACTTCAAATGTGAATACAACCCATGAGCAGGGGAGCAAGAGACATCCACAAAAACAGGCAGGTGGTGTGTGGGAGAACGATGTAGGGTGGATTTTGTACAAATCTTCCTCTAAGAACATGGCTGGTCTTTAATGGTGGCAATTAAGAAAGGCTGAGGGGTACATGGATATTCAGTTGTCTTGGTGAACTCCTCAGTCAACAGTTTGACTGGGGGCTTGCCTCATGAAGATCTGATTTGGTGACAAATGGGCATGAAACTGATTTTTGTTGTTTTCTTGATTTTAAATTTGAACATCATGTGAAGCTACAAAATACTTAAGAAACTGGAAATAAGCCAGGCTAAAGATGTAGCTTCAACAAGGCCAATGGACACTATTGTAAACTACCAACGCGTAAGTATTTTCAAGACTAGAGGTCCTGATTGAAATGCATACTGTTGAAGTCATGAAGAAAAAAATAAAATAAAATCTTTTCCGTGACTTCCTCACTCTCCACACATACAAAATCTTGTATGTGCTTCAGAATCCCTAGTTATTTCAACTTTACCAACTGGGCTGAGTAAAGAAGTTTGAGTTCCCATGGATCCAAATGTCAAAATTATGGTCTGTCTTTGTTCATCTTCCTACTGACCTATCACAGACAACAGAAACTGGTTAACGTGCTCAAAATTAACTGCTGGTTTTTTTCATTTTCAGGGAACTCTACTTGGACACTACCTGCAAGCTGGAGTGGCATCAAATGATGAATAAGCAATCTGTTGGCAACCTGGACTGAAAACAAGGTGCTGATGAGGGTTGAGGAATGAAGCCAGACACTTAGGATAGCGAACCTACTCAATAACCTGCCAGTTTGCGAAAGGTGCATAGTGCTCTTTTGAGTGTTTTTTGGATGAAGCTGAGGAAGAGATTTGCTCTTTGGCAGCTGGTTGAGGAAACTTAATTAAACCAGCCTTGCTTTACTGTCATAGGCATCTCAAATCTGGAAGAAGAAATTCTGTGGAGGATGCCTTTACTGCAGTGGCTGACCTGGCTGTTTACAGGAGTGGGTCAGTACTAAACAGTCCATAGCAACAGACAGTAAAGTTGTCCTTCTTGGATATGAAGGCCACTTGCAGTGTAAGTACCTACTGATTTTAACAGCTAAGAAATGGTTTCAGTTGAGTTCCCTGAGGAAAAAGCTTTTGACCTTCCCACAGCAGGCTTGCCAAGGATCCCAAGACTGGAACAGATGCAAAGACTGAATTGCCCATTGACCCCATGGGTATATTTGTCACTGGAGGACTACTATTAAGCATCTGACATGTTTCCCAAGACCTACCTTCATTTAAAACTATTATGTAAGTTGCTGGCATTGAAATAAGAATAATAATAATAAGTCACGCTTAACATTTGCTTAATGCAGTATTGGTCTTCTGAAGTCCATCTGAGTTATAGCTTGTCTTCTGCAGCGTCTATCTTGCTCCTGAGCTAGCAATGAAGCAGTGACACCTACTACTCCGTTCTTGGTGCTACGCCAAGAATGGAGAACAGAGCATCAGTCACTCCCAGTTTTGATGAGGAATCTTGCACTATACTAGCTGTATCCCTAAAGACGAAGTTCAAGGTTCTACAGAGATTAGCTGTGAGGGGATAACTAGCTACAAGCAATTCAAACCATCTTATGTAGCTTCTGCAAACTTGCACTTATTTTTAGATGCCAGATGACTAAATCTGTGGGAGGTGGCACATAAGGTGCAATAATGTAACTGCAATAGAAGGCAGATTTTGAAATCTCCTGTTCAGAAACAGATTCACGTAGGTAATTCAAATGTTCAAAGATGCAGACAGGCATCATATAGGTTTTTTAAAAAATTCCTATGTGCTAGAAAGTATGGACACGGAATGCATGTGAAAGCTGCATTGTCTTATAAGACTTTAAAGGAAACTTGTCTAGTCATCCTTATATAAATGTTGTCTAAGCTGCTGCCATTCATTCTGTTAGTGGACTTGCACAAACCCAAGACTCTCAGGCTTTATCTTATGCTTAAGGGTACAGGCAAGGAATCGGTTACCACAGAGTAAGCTGAGGTCTCACCACAGTTGTATGGGACCCCGCAGCAGCAGCACCCACCCACCTTAGTGCGAGAGCACAGCACCTTAGGGTGAGAGCAGCACGCATCTACCTCACTGCGGGCGCGTTCTGGCTGTCCCGATCTGGCAATGTCTCCCAGGGGAGACCTACAGCTGAAGACTTCAAATGACAACACATACCAAGACATACCTCATCAGTTCAACTGTGTCAACTCCGTTGTTCTCCCCCACTCTGTAGTATTTCACGGTTGGCAAGGTGGCTTTCCAAATAGTGTATAAGCCTTGCTTATAGACAGTTTCCCCCAGGCAATAGACTGCTGCTAGTTCAGTATTTTAGTGGTGTCAGGAAAGATGCCAAGGAAAACCTTAAATACCTTAAAAAATCTGGGCTGCTCAGATTTCAAAATGGAGCTGTTGTCCCAAAATCATTTATGTATTTCTGTGAAATTTTATTAAAGGTATTTGTTGTTGTTGTTGTTGTTCTTACTTCCCTTCTTGGAAAAAGGTAAGATATTATCATTGTCTATGGGCAAGACCATATATGTATTATACAGTAATGAGAGAAATCATTGTCTGTGCCTGTACTTTCTGCAGATGAACATTCTACATGCTTAGTCCTTATTTAGTTGTTCTTAACATAGTTTTTTTAGATATTTCACTCCAAGAGTGACAGAACTTCTTGCTTTGCAGTTGATTTTTTTTTTGGGGGGTGTTATTCAGTCCTATATTAAACTGTTGCAAAATGTAACATGAACTTCAAGATAGCATCAAATGTGATAATGGGAGACTGAACCGAGTGCCACTCTCATTAATAACTTTTATTACAGTGGAAGCAAGATCAAACTTATCAAGAAACTAAAAAATATGTTTTCATACTAATTTAGAGGAGATATTTTCTTGTCTCATTAAAATAAAATCAAATTCCTTTTTCTAACAGGCTGCTGATGTGATCTCTTTAAATCCTCAATCAACTCTTCAAAAACTGTCTATGAAAAAGACTATCCAAATCCTGATTTCAAACATGGAATCTGGAGAGGAAGGCCCACACTTTTAAAGGTACAGATGGCGAGCCTGTATACAGATGTAAAGACTAGAATTCATTAAACGAATCTGAGAACTGCTAACATTCATACGTACCGCTTTATTAAATGGCATGTGGAACAAAAAGTCTCTAAAATGAGTGGTCTCCGGTCTGCTTTCCTTAGGAACTACAAAAGAGAAGAGAACACGATTGTCATTTGTGTTTCAGGCAATTTATTTATGTCTGGACTTGCGTATTGGTCTTCTGCGATCCTTCTTTACTCTTGCCATCAATATGCCTCCAGCAGTAGTTCCATCTTTCAGAAGTTCTTATTTTCAGGAATTTAAATCTTTGATAATAAAGTGCACTGTTGGACAGACAGAGGCCTCCATAATGATTTTCCCATTGTATTTCTACAGTGCAAAGCTGCCAATTTATAGGCATCGCAGGCTGTAAGATAGTGTAATAGAGGGCAGAGAGGTTCGGATCAGAAGGGAACACAGTGATCATTATCCGAGTTACTGGATAATTTCACAAAATTTACAATTCTGGTGTTGATACTACATTTCTGCTGGTATGATTCAATAACCGAACTCTGGAGAGAGAGGACAGCTGCAGGGGCAGGACTGATGTGGCCCTAAAAGAAAACCCTACAGACAAATACTTCCCAAGAATCACCCTCACATCATCATGAGCTTTGCCTTGCCTACAGAAAACAGATTGTAGGAACAAACGCAGTGATCCCAGGCCCTCGGGCTCTGAGTGCCTTGTGGAGGCTTATGGACTGGGCCTGTTTGCGGGCTTGGGGCGCTGCACCCCCGCCAACCACGGAGGGTATCAAAGCTGAAATACAAATAGTCTGGACTGCAGCTCTGCCACTGGGCCAGCAAGAACTTCCCTTAATTACAACAGCTCACAAGTCCACATAAATACAACGCTGTTTGATAGAATAATGAAAGCAGTACTGTGCATTATTTTTCTCTCTTGCAGTAAGGAAACAACACATCTAGGTGATAATTTTAAATAGCGGTACTGTTTAATGGTACTAAGTCCAACGTGAAACGGAAATACTAGATTTCCCTTCCAAGAACACCTATGAACTGGAGTTTACAGAACTCACAGGCCTAAAGTCAATACCATCTAATACAATCTTTTCATAACAACAAGAGAAAAATCATTTTCAGGCATGGCAGATGATTTATACTGCTGCAGGTGACATTTAATCACAGAGGGGAAAAAAGCATCTTAAATGACCACTGGTACAGCTTTTATTAATGACTCACAATGCTGAACTGCTGTAGCAGTGGAAAGTTCATCAAGAATTTGCAAATGCAAACTGATAGCTGATTTACAAATAAAATATTGAAGTCATCAAGTAAATTGTTCCAAAGAAATCATCTACGCTAATTGTGATAAAGCAATAGGAAACAGGCTACAAAAAAGCTGAGCCACAAAGACTTGGTAAATTTTCTGCCCCATTAACTCCGGGTGAGCTCATCTTCGGGATGAAATCTCAACCCTGCTGAAGGTCTGATTACACTAACATAACTTAAATGTGGTCAGATACAGAAAATGCTCATTACAAATTCAGCGCCCCATCCAAAAATCTGCTTATGCTTTGGGTCAGACCTTTGCAGTACACTCACAGTTCAAGGCTTCAGTGTTCTGAAAGGCAGAGAAAGTGCGACTCACCATTCAGGTTTTCCTTTTCTAGTCTGTTTCCAACAGCGGTGTCTCTAAGGTGGTGCACTTTTTCCTTTCAGTAAAAAAACAAGCATAAAACCAGCAGCAGAAATCAGTAACGGAAGTTTACTGTAGAAATAATGAACAACTATAAAAAGCTGGATTCTTTAGCACTCTCAACACCAAGCTTCTCTCTCCAGGAAAATAATTTTAAAAGACTGAAAAATGTCTACGATGCACTGTAAGTAGATGCTAATTTTAGCATTTATACCTAAGACTCTTGTGGAGTTTTTTTCCCCGTAAGTTACACTGATTCTGGTGTTAGATTACAGAGGCTTGGGAGGTTATTTTTTGCTTTGGACAAGCCATTTTTCCTCAAAAATCCCAGTGAAGACCAGACAACTGCAGTGATAGCATGAAATAAATTCAGCACGTTCATATTGGGGTAACAGTGAAAGACTTTTCTACAGTACAAAACCAAAGAAGAGTCACACGTGCAACGCAGGGTATAAACCACCACTAGAAAGTAGCTTTTTCCCCGAAGCAGTGAAAACAGGCCAAGTAAATCCTCCTTGAAACATACGCATCTTCTAGTTAACCAAGGAAAAAAAATACTTACAATTTAGTGCTGCTATCTTTGCACAGATTAGGTATCGTCTTCCTCCACAAATAACTCCCCTGACTGATAGCGCAATCCCAGCAATTCCCACCTGTGTGCTTGGCCGCAGACAGATGGGGAAGGGGGTAGCCACCACGCTCTCGCGCTGCGGCCGAACAGGCTGGGCCCTGCTGCTGGGCCCAGCCGGGGAACCGCGCTCCTAAACTCTTCTAAGCCCTCGCACTTTGGCTGTGAAGTGTTCCACTGTGGTGACAAAGCTCATACCATTTCTTCAGTAAATGCCAACACAAACAGCATTTAATCTCCCCTTGTTGGCGGCATCTGATAGCTCTCCCACTCTGTAGAGTAGCAGACTTGCTTTGGTTTTCCTCTCTCTACTAAATGCACTTAAAGGACAACAAGAAAATATTTTTGTTAATGCACAAGCTCATGTAAAATGAGGGCATAACCTCTTCCTCCAGCTGTCTTGTTAGAAGTAATCAACAAACCTCCTCGCCGTGCCTTCCTCCTTAGCTTGTAGCTTTGATGCGGTTCTTTCAGTGACTCAGTGTGTGGGCTTTTGTAAGTCCTGGTTTTGTGCACCTCTGTTTACTCCATTCGTTGAATATAAAAGAGCTGAAGAGCACTAAGTAGATTCAACACTTTCAGATAGGCATAAAGCCTGATGTAAGTCAATACATATTAACAATGTATGCTTCATATAGTTATGTTTCTGTTAGCTGACGCTGTTCAATAGTGCATTTGGTTTGTTCAGCTACAGAAGGTTTGTGGTTTCATAAAAGACGCATAGACCTAAGCATCACCTAGCAGTTTAAAGCAAAAGTCTTAGAAGACCAAGACATTTAACTCAGGGTTTTAACCAAGTGCAACAGCACCTGAAGCCAGGCAAAATAAATTCGGGAAGCCTCTCAAGTAACCAAACAACAGTGGAAATGGCTATCTAGAAGACTCAGAACCATAAGCAGCACGTTCCTTGGGAGCTGACGGGCACGTAAATCATGGCTCTTATTTTTGACCTCACCAAAATTCAAGAGTTTCTTTTTGGATCTTGTGATCAAGATTCCTGTCAAGAAACATAAATTTCAGACTCATACCTGTTGAGTGGACTGTAGCCTCTGTTTTTCATTCTGCCACTGTTTAAATCTGTCAAGGGCTTCATCCACAGAAATTGCTCCCTTTTTCACCTGTTCCTGCAAGCGGATGAGTTCTTCCTGTCCAGCAGGGATGTTGTGTTTCACAGTGCTGTCGGCTACTGTGTCAGCGTGGCCTCTGTGTGCTGCTACAAAATGTAGAAAGATACAGGTAGAAACTATTATTAACCCATTTCATTCCTTTATGATGCAAGTACTTTTTTCAACAAAGGCATGTAAGCAGTGATTTTATAATCTGACATCAATAAAACCACACCATCTTTATGGTGGCTCCCCCCACCCCCTTTTCTTCTGTTTGTTTATTTTTCAATGAGAGAAATGCAACAAATCAATGAGGATTCCACCATTACTCTTTGGCAGCAGAGCAGCATCTTAAACATTTCATTCCTTACTGTTGCCTGGCTCCACGGATTCTCTGTTAGCGTCCTTCTCCTCAGGGCTGCTCTCGATCCCTTCATCCCCCAGCCTGTATTGGTACTGGAGGGTGCCCTGACCTCTGTGCAGGACCTTGCCCTTGGCCTTGCTGAACCTCATGATGTTCACAAAGGCCTACTTCTCCAGCATGCCTGGGTCCCCCTGGACGGCATCCCATCCCTCAGGCGTGTCAGCTGCACCACTCAGCTTGGTGTCAGCTGCAAACTTGCTGAGGGTGCACTCCATCCCGCTATGTCACTGATGAAGGCATTGACCAGTACTGGTCCCAGTACAGACCCCTGAGGGACACCACTTGTCACCAGTCTCCATCCAGACATTGAGCCATCGGCCACTACCCTCTGGATGAGACCATCCAGCCAATTCCTTATCCACCAAATAGTCCATCCGTCAAATCCATCTCTCTCCAATTTAAAGAGAAGGATGCTGTGGGAGACCCTGTCCAAGGCTTTGCAGAGGTCCAGATAGATGACATCCAGAGCTCTTCCCTTGCCCCCTGATGTAGTCACGCCATCAAAGGCGGCCACTACGTTGGCTGGCAGGGGTATGCTACCAATACTCCAACACTGTAATATCCAGAAGGTCCTGTACTCTTTTCCTAAGTGGTTTAGCACTCATGAAAGGTAATGTCAGTAGCACTGGAGACCGCAGTTCCCCACTGCAGAAATAAATAGGCAATTACGTGCTGCTCTATATGCTTTAATCCTGACCTGCTACTTGTTAACAGAAGAGGGAGGAAAAAATCTTCCCTGAGTGTTCATTCATTTGGTACATAACATTGTTAATTATTTTAGAGTACCATTAATGGAATTTATGGTAGCAGCATTTTGATGTGCTACAACTCAAATGACAACTGGACTGCCACAAGTAATTCACTTTACATGGATCTTGGGGTAGCCAGGAGAGGACTGTTCCTCCCCACACTGCTGCCTTTCCATGGCTGGAATTAGTGCGCAGCTGAGCCCTCCTGTCCTTCCTCTTCTTGGTTTTAATCACAACGGAGAAAGGAAACAGGAACGCGTAAAGTAACTCTGACTCTACAAATCTTTCCCACAAGACTGTAACTTCTATTTTTCTTTTTGGTTCTGTAATCTGATCTCCTAATGCTGCAATACCATTAAGAATATAAATTGTATGTGGGAGAACAGATGCTAAATCAAAATCAAGTAAAAGGAAATCTCTACTAGTTCTACTGAAAAGCATCAAGGCAGTGAAAGAGCTAAATTAAATTCCATACCGAGCTTCCTGGCATCGCAGTACGTCCTGTCGTTGTCACTGGGCACTTGAGTGGCCTTTTGCTGAAACACTGCAACAAAATTAAGAATATAAGGAAGTTGGTGAAAAATGGCAATAAAAACCATCACACATTCTGAACAAAGGAAGGAGGCTTATGAAACCAGGCTGGAATAAATTTCTTGTTCTAGCCTAGGAGTACTTCTCAATCCACTTGTCAGTGTAATGTTAATTACTTGAAAAATGGTTCTGTTGCACAGAATGGCAGGATTACTGATATTACAGATATCGTGACAAGAAGCTTTGGAGAAAATACAAGAGCCATATCACATTGACATATTACTTGTTTAGAAAAAACAGCTAGTTCTCGGAGTTCTACAGACACTTAGTGTAGCCTGTTTCTTACCTTACGGGGAAACCTAAGGTGGAAAAAACCAGTAGTACTAGGTGAGAATAATGACACTGCTTAAGAAAGAGTATGTGTGTTTATTCAAGCACGATCCCCTATTCCGTTAGCGCAGGCCATCATCCCCGTTCCTGTGAGGTGCCCAGAGCACAGCCTGCCTGGGTACACCCTGAAACGCTGCAGTCAGACCTTTGCTGGCGGCGTACGCAAACCCCAGAAGGTGGGAATTGCGTGGTTCCTGACTTAGCTGCTGCCATATCAGCTTTCCCACTTAAGCCTCAGTTCTGATTTTGGCTAAACAAACTGATAATCTAGAATAATTCCTTCCCATTAAGTAATCTTTCTGACACCACTGCAATGCCACAAACGTGCCAGTTCAAGGGGGCAGATATTGGCTTGGGGACCAAGGCGCAGTACGACGGAGCTCTGCTCAAGCGGCAGAGCAGGCGCGCTCTGCGTGGTACCTCGGAGTCCTGGCTTCTTGCTCCTCCTGACCAGGGAAACCCAGCGGACCCTGGTTTGCTCCTCGTCTGCCTGCTCAGGCTGCCCTCTACGATGCATCCACTTCTCTCAGGGAAACTTGTAAAACGGATGGTCAAGACCGCTGTGACATCTGAACTCCACGTGTGCTACATGCAGAGGTGAGCAAAGAGCAATTCCTAAGGGTGTATTTTCTACGCTGCAGAATGAAGTCTACACTAACTCCTGAGTAGGCTTGTATGGAAGGTGATGATGAATGAAAACAGCTGGGGACTTGATGTTCCTTAAAACCTTCTCAGGCTAAATGGAGAGAGTGAAAGAAGCATACAGGCAGCGCAATCTGCTGATGTTATGTCCCTAGCTTCAGGCTAACACTGACACATTTTAACTTTTGTAATAGTCTTCTCTGTAATTCTCAAAGAATCTTGCTAAATATGGTTGCAGTGTTTTCTTCTATACTTGAAATAGCATTCTCTTTTTAAAGAAGAAATTAAAGTAACCAGAACACAGAGGTAATGCAGGCAGCCTGAATTTTACTGCATAAGATGGAGAGGGGATATACTCAACAATGTCCCTGATTGGAAAGCACTTTAATTGATAGGCTTTGAAATTTCTGCTGAGTTTTGCAGTGTTGGAGTAATCAGAAATGGAATTACTCTTCCAGTTCAAAGTAAAATTGTTAAAACCACTTTACATGCCGCATCTTGCTGGAATGATTTTAGTTGGCAGCAAGTATTCTGTGTGGGTGAGGTCAATGAAAACAAATTCTTCTTTCTGGAATGCCTGGAAAGACAGAGGCACACACCACTGTACGACTGCCAGAGGTTTCAGGACTCTCTCATTCCCACGTTCTAATGACTTATGAACTGCTTGAGCACAGTAGTGGAAGGAAAGAAACAGGTAATCTTACCCAGCGATCTATTCCATTATTTCTCATGGAAGATAAAGTGAATATTCCTTCAGTAAAGCAATACTAATATAGCAATTTTTTAAAGTGTCAGAACGTCACAGTCCTTCAACTGAGGAAGGTTATATATTTTTATATTTTCAGAGCCTTTCTGCCATAGATAATCTGATTAAAAAGTTGCAGTACTTCTATTATGCTTTTTACTTAATGTGCACCCTTCAGTAATACCTGTATGATCAGAAAGAGAGTCCTTTTGAATTTTTAATCGCATTGTGACCAGCTAAAGTACCCATAGATGCTTGTAGGTCAAAATCTACAAATTAAATGTTCTGACCCGATATAGGTTATATAATTTTTGTCTACGATGTGTCTCCTCTCTCAATTTCTCAAAATTCAAGGAGGCTGAGAGAACTAATAAGTAATTCCACTTTATTCCCTCTCCTCTCTTCAGTTGCTACAGGACACAGCTGAAGTTCTTTGCATGCCCTAAATACATTTTTATGTCTTGGGTATTAAGATTGCTTTTTAGGAATGCACTGTAACCTCAATATTTCTCCAGGAAAGCAAACTCAGAGAGTGAGAAACCACTGCAATATTTTCTAGTAGGACTTAAAATCAGAAAATAACATTTAAAAAGTGTGACAAAACACAAATCTTGTGGCAAATATGCAGAACTCTGGGAAAATCCCTAACAGAAGGCTTGGAAAGTGAGTGGGATCCAAGGAACTCTGAATTGCCTTTTTTATCTCAGTCAGACTAGCTACAGATGTTGTTTCAGGCTGTCTGCACATGCAGGTAAATAATGTTATGAGGCTTGAAGTGTGGTTAATATTTTCATAGTTATTACCACAAATAGAAGGGCTAGAAACATTTGAAATCTAAGTCGCTTGTGTATAATTCTGTACCAAGAGGAGCATTTTATAGTCACACACTGTACCAGAAACTGTGATAAGTATAAAGGGTCTAGAAAGAGAGAACAAATTTTTTACAACAGCTGCAGGTTGACAAAAAGAACAGGAATTTGATTTTCAGAATTAATTGAGGTTCTAACACAAAGCCGTGACGGTAAGGAACCACAGATGCACTCTGACATTCCAAAAATTGCTTAGTGATCGCCCAGTAAGAAGTGATTTTACTTGAAACACAGGCAATCAAAACGTGCTGGAAAGAGTTACATTACGGGAGAGGACAACTCGTATCAGTTAAGAGGCAATGACCAACCAAGATATGGTTTCCAGTTTACATTTTACTTTACCCATCTAAAGTATGAGGGATGTTGCCCAATCTGTCGTATTAGCAACATTACCTCTAAAAATCGAACAACAGTTTGCTACTGTACACTAGCAATTCAAATAAAGCTAGAACAATGAACCTCCCCTCTGGAAGAATATGTGAGGTAATCATACCTCATACTTGCCTACTTACTCAACACTTTCAGCAGAAAAATCACAAAGGAGAAAAGACACAGCAGAAAAAAAAATAAATCAAGAAATATCACTAATTTGAATTCTGTTTGCTTAAGGAAATTCAAGATGCATTTATTCATCAGCTTCATTGAGCTGATGTTCCAAACAAAATTATCTATTGCTATGACTGCTTTATTTAGGAAACATTCAAAACTAAAATCCAAGGGAACAAAATCTTTGTGGGAACACAAGGCTAAGTGATAATGCAAATTAATTAATACACTAGGGTTGCACTTAAGACATCTTAACTCAGTTGCAAATTACAGTGAATTTGTAGACTTCCTCCTTGTTCTTAGTAGGTTTTTGCTTCACTCATTTTAGAATTGTCACACAATTAACTCCTGATTAACGGAAGAATGGAGAAGGAGGGGTGAATTGCTAGTTGAGATATGTTGCAGGGAGAAACTCCTATCTTTGCTGACTTCATTTTTCTGCCATTATTTAAACATTTTAACATTTAAACTGTGTGTGCGTAGTACCTCAGCAAATAGAACTTACATGTTCTTTTTCTGGTAGGGATTAGATTGTAAATGAGATGTAGCACAGCAAGGGATGACAAATACAGAGAGAATACTAAAGAAGGAATATAGTAGAATGATGCTTATTATTCAGGAGATGAGAACTCTGCAGATGTTTGTTCACATCTTTTTAGATCTCATTTTCCTTTTGCCTGTTATGTTTGCTAACACACTGAGCATCACTCAGCAGGAGGACTAGACAGAGGTCATCAATGCAATGCTAACCAGGAAGTTTTGTGAGAGATGATTATGGACCACTCCTAAAATTTATACAAAATTTTTAACATATTTAAGATTAAACCAAAAAATTCTACTGATTCATAACATGAAGGAAATGGGACACTGTAAACAGTATGGCCTTTTTCATTTTTCTGAGGCAAGACAGCTGAGCAGAGAACAAAAGCGTATCGGCGTGCCTCATGACTCTGGTCTAGTTAGGTCCAAGCCCTGTGGAGAAGGGATGGCTGGGCTGGGCGAGGTAACAACAGCTCAAGTCCCACAAGCTGTCCTGTCACGGCAGCACAGGTGTCCGAATGCACTCACACGGTCACAAGGCAAGGGGAAAACGACTGGCCAGTTTTAACTGCACGGGTGTGAGAAAACCAGTGACAACATCTGAACTGGTACAGAAGTTCTGATCTGTTCTAAATGCGCTGCTTGACACTTAAGACGTTTACGAGAACACACAACAGTCATTTCAATCAGAATACAGACTAACTGGTGTCAAACGCGCTTGTGGAATTATCAAACTGCCATGCTGCTCTGTTATTCGCAGTGGCCCAATGCGTGATGCCTGAGTTTTTCAGCTACAGCATCGCATCCACTCATCACAATTTACACAGGCTGTTGTCAGCCTCTACCTTCCACAGCCACATAATTAGTCAGTTGAGATTGAAACCCCCTGTTCTCTCAGACCAAAAGTAAAATGACTTTAAAAAGAATCACAGTGTAATGACAACGTGAAAACACTAATCCAAAAATAAACATGTGCTCACCAGCAATTCTCTTCCCAATTTGCAGTGAGATTTTGAGTCTGTCAAACAGGAGCTCAAATGTGTTAGAATCCCAGCAACCTTGGTCAGGGAGGGACCTCAGGACACTACACAGGGATGACTCCTCTGCACTGAGCCAAGATAATAAAAGCGATACCAGAACCCCTTCTTACAGAAGGGGCAAAGAGGGAGTGAGAAGCGCAGGTCCTGGCGGTCAGTTTAAGGTGCCGTTCAGAAGGTGGTGTCAAGGTCCTGCCTGTACCACACACAACGAAGAGAACTCTCCCACTGTTGCTCTTGTCAG